AAATTTCAGCACATTGAAGTGAAGAACAACCCCGATTTCAGCACATTGAAGTGAAGAACAACCCCGATTGAGTAAGAAAGCATGCTCCAGAAATTTCTCTTATATTTCTCTGTGATGTGATTTTTCATGAAACACCCTATGAATAATTATCCTTTTAGTGTAATTTTTTTTAATGATGCAGCTTACTAAAATTCTTGGCGTCAACTAATATATATTTTTTATTTAAATGTTCTTGCAGGTATATTAGAAGGAATCAGTTAGATGCTGGGTTTCCCCTCTTTGAATAAAACTCTCTGAAATGGCCTGGATTTGTGCAGAAAATGTATGGTTAGTACTCTATGCAGTTGGAGTACATAAGTCCATTTAATTCCTAATGGGCCATGATTTGATTTTTCTGAAACTGAGAAGCTTTCATAGGAGTTGAACATTACAGGAATACATTTGTCTGGTGGCTTTTCAAAAATAAAAAGAAATTGTCGAATGGGATAGCATGAGTGGTTGAGATATTGGAGCATTGTTCATTTATCATCTTTGCTTTTGGTTCAAAACTTTGTTTGAGTTTAGGCTAGGCAAGATTCTTTCTTGTGATCCTTTGTTTACATAAGTTGAGAAGCAAAGTTAGAATTCAGGTGGAATGGGAAAGAGAAACTTAGGTTCCAAGAAGCTGGGTAATAAACACTTGCTCGATCACTCATGTCTGTTAGATTAAGGAGAAACTCAAGTACTTAATATGTAAAAATTTTACAACATATTCACTAATGTTAAAGGACTTAACAGAGCATTTTTTAAATATAGTTAAATTAAGGAGAAACTTTGGTTTATAACCTGCATTGTCATATTATCTACAGTATCTTACATTAGCTTAACCTAGCCAAATATGTAATTTCATAACGTTTTTTAGGTCCCCGTTGCAACGCACGTGCATTCACCTATATAGTTGTTTTTGGAGCTTCTTGATGGCTTGTCTCAGTTACCAAGTTTCCTGAGACCTAACACTGATGGCTTGATGGCTTGTCTCAGTTAGAATGCCTTGATGGCTTGTCTCAGTTCTTCCTGAGATTCATGTGTTGCAGCCTGTCGTGCTTGGGCCTTTTTTTGGCTGGTTCATGGTTTAGGGTCTCTTCTCTTTCTCAGTTTATTTGTGCATTTTTTGGTAGTTGATATCACGCTTCATAATTATTAATTATTCAAGTTCCAAGCTTGTAGGGCACTAGCAAAAAACATAATGGGCAAGTTACCTGTAAGTAGTTAACTGTTTTTATTTCTTTCAGTTAAACTGAAGAAATTTGAAACAATTTTCTTTTCTTGGTTTGGATTTCAAAACCCACTATTTTTTTTACTTCAGACTGTTGTCAATGACAAATGCATTTGAGCACCTTTTTATAGTTGTTTCTTGACTAATAATTCTCTATATTGTTGCGTGACAGTTTTCTCCTGTTTAAATTGGACTATACTGGATTTAGAATTCTCATATTTGGATATGGCAAGGACTCAGTTCATTCGGATATCTCCTATCCGATCCTTTATAGAGTAGATGCAGCAGATAGCAAACCAATAGAACAAAAATTTTGGAAAGAATGATTGGAGCAGTCAATCAACAACAAATATTTTGCCTCCCAGACTTGACAATTGACATGGTGATTTAGCTAACTCAATAAAAAATACAACCTGTCTATTGAACATTGGCATCATTACACCACTCTAAATTTTAACAAAAGAGTTGAACATCAGCACCTTTTTTGTGACAAATCGATGGCTTAATTCTTTAACGATGTAAAAGGTACATGATGTACCAAGCAGTTCTTTTGGAAGTCTGAACCTGCACCTGTATTTGTTACTATTGGCTCACTTTTCTTTGTCATGGTTCTCAGTCTCATCTTCAATCACCTCCTCTGTTCTATGTTCTTATTAAAATAAGACTATGTCTTATCTTCTTAAAATAACCAAGCAATGGAAGATGAATATATGTGCATTGAACTCTTCTTCTTAAATTCCCAGTGAATACTATAGAAACGGGTTTTAGTCCCGGTTGGGAAGGCCCTTTAGTCCCGGTTTTCCCAACCGGGACTAAATTCCCGGGACTAAAGGTCCACACCTTTAGTCCCGGGTCTGGGAACCGGAACTAAAGGTCACCCACGGAAGAAAAAAATAAAGGAAATCCTCGAGGCCTCGCTTGCTCTACGTGAGATTCGAACCCAACACCTCTCTCCTCGCGTGTAGGTACATTACCAACTCAACTGCACACCACTTGTGACAGAGTCATGTGCGCTCTCCTTTTGAATAGACTCGTGGAAGACCTTTAGTCTCGGGTAAAAGACCTTTAGTCCCGGTTGAAGACACCAACCAGGACTAAAAGGTCACCCTTTAGTCCCGGTTGGTGTTACCAACCGGGACTAAAAGTTGGTGAACTTTTACTCCGGGTTGGTGACACCAACCAGGACTAAAGATGACTTTTAGTCCCAGTTGGTATTACGAACCGGGACTAAAAGTCCTTTAGTCCCGAACGCAAAAAATATCGAGACTAAAGGCTAAAATCAAAGTGGGTGAAAGGTCTGTTTTCTAGTAGTAATACAACTTAGAGCATCTCCAAGAGTACCCATTTTTGGCCCACCTACTTTTCGGCGGTGATTCAGGATGTTAACAGAGTTTGTGCCCCTTCACTGCAGATGGTATGTTTATCTTTCCCTCAATACTTAACTCATTTGCAAGCGCAAGACACTGTTTGTTACCAACTGCCATAAGTTACTGTATTTTACGATTTGTCCATAACTTGAATTGTCTTAGTTGACAACTGACAAGTTGCAGACATATAGCACTAGAAAATTTGATATCGCGGGTCCTGAATGTCGTTCATTTTTCCTCTTTTTCAAGGCTTAGGACTGAATTCTATTTAAACTTCATGGTTTGGAGTTCGTGGCAGGGAGACACATTATGTACTTAGTGAGTGCTGATGGTGCTATCATGGCTTGGAAGATTGATTCTAGCAAAGGAGAGGAGTTTATTATTTTTCACCTTTTTATTTATTTTTAAAAACTGTATACTATGTAATGTAACTTGGATAAGTCTACGCTCGCTGCACTATGTACTAGAATGTGTCACAATCTTGCAATATACTTGCTGGGTAATATATTTGCTTCATAAACTTGAAAGTCAACTCGAATGGTTGATGCTGGTGGCCTGATTTCTAATCATTTGACTTAATGTTTAAGCTTTCTTTGCCACTGGTCTTGCTACACTATGATTTTTTTTAGGAACCTTTGCCTATGATGGTTTGGATCACATGATGCACATTTTTTGAAGGGATAAGGCAGGCAAGATTTGCAATTTAATGTTTTTTTTGCAATACCTTCCTTTGTTCATTGTTCCATTCGCCCTGTCGGCATGAATCTTAATCCATTTCACTATTTACTTCATTTTCAAAAAGACATATTGTTCTTTTGTTTTAACCGCAGCGTTAGCACGGGCATGGTACTAGTCAAAGATAAGAGGATAGCAACGGTGCAGGTGCTTTCAGGCACTGGTGCCTGCCGTCTTTGCTGATTTCCAGAAGCGCTTTTCGCCAGATTCGCAGATCTACGTACCAACACCAAAGTGGTCCAAGTGAGTTGGCATCTTGCTGTGACCCCAAATGTTATTTGATTATTTCGTTTACTTCTCAGGAAGAAAAGGGAGTGAAGTAGAGTTATGGAGATGAGTGTGCACTGCACTCCCTCGCAATTCGTTTGGGAGCGAACGAGAGTTAATGTCAACTTATTTTTACTGTATCTGTGATAGAACCAATTTGTTAATCAGGTATAAGATTTGCTGCATTCCTATTTCGGATTTGAACTATTGTGGTTTGATTTTTTGGAAGCTTTGGTGTTGCTATTTTTGGAATAAAAAATCAGCTGCTCCAACTAATTTATGTAGGCATGCGCATGTCGCACAGTGAATGCCTGCTCATCATAAAACTTTGTGTTTAAGTCATTTAACCTTGTTAAAATATGTTCAATATAGTCAATTAGCTTTGGACTTAATGCATCACACATGGATACATATTTTTTTAGATATCAAATGGTACTTTAACTTTCAAAATTAACAAACAACTTATATGCAGGATACTTCTAACTACAGCTTCAGCCATCTGCATGCTTCAACTGCAAGAAGTCAGACGCCGTATCTTGGACTATAAAATCTTCTGGATCATCATTGATTGGTGACTAACTGCAGCTTGGTATTCGTGCAAAGCACGTTCTCTTAGTTGAACTATTGAGATATTAGATTCTTAATTGTAGAATAGATTTAAAACATGTATTGTGAAACACAAACTTGTTATGATTATCTTTCCGTAGCACTTGATTTCTAAAGAAGTGCAAGCTTATCTTTCGTGTATCGTAGGCATGAAGTGATGCGACAATTGAAGTTGATGTTTTAGTTTTGCATTCAAATTTAGAGTTATATTTTAACTATCTATCTTTCGTGAAGACTTATGTAATATTGATTGGAACATTATGATTACGGTATCTATTTTAGATAACAGTATAACACACGCTCATACATATGTTATCGTGGTATTATGTGTTCCCGTTGCAACGCACAGGCATTTACCTAGTTAGGAGTAAAAGGTAATTTTTCATTGATAAAAAACAGATATGCATCTAAATGACTAAATTTGTGCCTATAAGAGAACTCAGACAATGGTGATATCAGTGTACAGTACACCGAGACCACATATGCCAGCTGGTAATGATGGGAATGCAGAGAGCACAAAAACAAAGGTACATGGAAGTGACAGTAGAAGCAGGCATAAAGTTTATAGAGAACAAGATGGAGGCAAGGAAGACAAAGAAGAATTACTTGCTTATTCTCAGCTGAATGAAGACACGCACAAATCCTTCAAAACAAATAATTAACCTTGCACACAAGAATATCAAGAAGAGAGGAGCTAGATCGCTCAATCCAGAGCACCCAAAATTAATAACACACTTTGGAATTTACTTGCCAGAACTCCTAAAAGCTAGCTAGCTTGGCTGCACGGCTTTCAAGGAGTGGTCATCATCAGCAGTGATCAGCTTCTGGTCCTCGTCGTCGAACTCGACCCACACCGTGCTGATCGTCGTCTCCATCTTGTGCGCAAACGAAGAACCACGACCACCGTCGATCGCCTCTGCTCCAGCTTTGGCCTCGACCTTCTCTTCCTGCAGGCAGCCATCTTCTTCCGGGATCGGGATCATCGTCACCGGCTCCATCTCCATGGCAAAGGCATGCGCTGGCGTGACGACCCTGACGAGAGGGTACTCGAGGCTCTTGCTGCTCGCGTTGCTCCTCTTGCACTTGTGGTAGAACTCCTTGAGCTCCGGCGTCTGCGCGCACGCCTTCTTCAGTATCTCGTGAGCGGTGACCCTCGAAGGCTTGCTTAGCCCGGCGAGGCTCCTCGACAGCAGCAGCAGCATGACGTCGACGCCTTCCGCGAAGGCGTCGTAGACCTTGAAGCTCTCACGGAGCACAATGCCGAAGGCCGACCGCGCGGCGGCGCTGGCGCTCGTGTTGTTGTCCGGCAGGAGCTGGATGGCGAGGTCGAGCAGCCTCTGGCACATGGCGAGCTTGAAGAGGAGCGTCTCGGCGCTGGCGTCGTGGGAGGAGGTGGAGGAGGATGCAGAGGAGGAGGGCGGGGGCGGGAGCATGGCGGCGTCGTGGTCAGGTGGCGGCGGCTTCCGCGCGGGCTCCAGGTTGCCGGCCTGGTTGATCACCCACTGCATGCGCTCCTCCAGGTAGGCCGAGTAGCCGTGGACGAAGGCGCACGCTCCGCTGGCGACCGCCGCCGCGCCGGCGCCGGCGTAGTGGACTACGCCGCCAGCGGCAGCGAGGGGCGAGCAGCTGCACCGTGGCGCGTCGACGCGGAGCTCGCGGGAGGCCCAGAGGCCGCGGAAGTCCTGCTCGAAGTACCGGTCGCCGGCGCGGAGGAGGCGGTGGACGAGGAGCAGGGACCGGAGCGCGGCGGCCGGGGCGCGCGCGGCCTCGAGGCGCGCAGTGATGCGGCGGGAGAGGAAGGTGATGGCACTCGGCGCGTTGGAGACGAGGAAGAGGATCTCGTGGACGTGCCGGTCGTCGTTGGCCCCTCCGCCGCTGCTGCTGCCGGTGCACCGCTCGATGGCCGCCTCGATGTCAGCAAGGAGCGCTCGGTCGGGGACGGCGGCCGCCGGCGAGGAGGACTTGGTGGTGGACGCGGTGCCGGCGTGGTCCATGAGTGAGCCTATTGCTGCCCAAATCTTGCCCTTGAACACCTTCATGTCTTATATGACCTCATGAGTCTCATGAGAGAGTGGAGAGGGGGAGAAGAAGAGAGAGATGGTGCATGAGAGTTATAGCACACTCCCTCCTCTTGTGTGCATGCATGCACTAATCCACTTGTAAGTGGGACTGCCTAGAGAGACAGAGAGTAGTAGAGAGAGAAAGAAGTATATCTATGTTGTGCATGACCATGGTCACAAGGAATTCTTGAGAGAACGAAGCCTCTGCAGCAACAAGTCCACTGTTAGCCTTATGACTTGTGGAAAAGGGGCAAGAAGAAAGCAAGCTCCCACTATCTGAGGGGGGAGAGAGAGAGAGCATGCAAGAAAATATATTCGGAGGTCAACTCTTGGGTGGGGGAATCGTATGCCTTTGGAATGAGGTGCCTCATGCATCAAAAGGCTTCTTCCATTGGCATATGGACAGGAGGTTTGACTCAAATAGAAATAGTTTTCAAGTATTAGCATATGGATTCCTACACATCAACATCAAACAAGGAGCTTTCTGAGAGGAATGTGAGGTTTTGGAACTAATTAAAGGTGAAACACAGTTGAAACCCACGCTGGAGGACCTGTATGTCTCAACTCCGATCCCAACAGGAACAAGTCACAGTATATATTCCCTTCTCTCTGATATATCTCTCTCACGCACACATCTTTTCAGCTCTCGTGTGTGTGTATATAGTATTACTATATGATACTCGGGTACCAAATAGCTATTCAGTACTCAGCGGCAGTCAAACAGGCCTGACCCGTCGTTCGGGCCAGAGGCTCACAGGCCCAGCCCACCAACGAGGTAGAGCACAGCAGCTCAGCTCCCCCCACCCACCCACGATTTTTTGCGGTTCCAATCTCCATACCCCGCCCGCCCACAACTGCCGGCTCCACCCCGCACCCGCCGGCGCCGCGCCTCACCACCGCCCAACCGCCGCGCCCTGCCTCCAGTCCACCCCCTCCGCTCGGTCTCCTCCTTCCTTCCCTCCGCCGGCACCTCCCGTCCACACTCCCAGCCCGCTGCCGCCGCCGCACCTCACCCCAGCCCTGCTGGCGCCGCCCTAACCCCACTGGAGTGTGATCCCCGCCACCTCCCGGCGGGCGAGGCTCACTCTCCTCCACCTCCCCACCATTGTCCCTTCTCCGTCGAGCAGCAGGCGATGGTGGAGCGCCCCTAGGAACCGCTCATCTTCCTGCGGGCAGCAGCGGTGAGATCTGAGCGGGTGTGGTACCTGGAGGACGTCGGCGACCTCACGTGGCTCGACCTGCGCGACGCCTGGCTGCCGGTCAGGCGGTCACCGAGAACTGTGGCAGCATCGCCTGCTTTGCCGCCTTCCACTCCCTCAAAGCCGCCTCGTCTTCCAGATGCTCTTCCTCCCGCTCGCTCCCAAGCGGATGGTATGCGACCAGTCACTGCTCCTTCCTTAATCCTTACTCTCCGCCTCCATTCTTCCCCCTCCATTGCTCTTGTTTCAAGTGAGCATTGCTGCTGCTACTGCTAGGATTGTATAAAAAAGTCACAGTATAAAGCTCATGTTCATGGACTATTTTGGTCTCGTTTTTCTTTCTCTAGTTTGAAGTTCGTTGAAATGTTGTAAGCATAGCATGTGCGACTTCGAACAAAATAATTTGAAGTTCGTTGAATTGTAGTAAGCATAGCATGTACATCATTCCTAAAATCATCACATCTGAATAGTTAATTTATTGGTGCAACAAAAAAATAGAAATGGTTAATTACTAGAGGGACGCCGATATTACTGTTTAGATATATTCAGTAGTTCTATATATAGTGTGCTTGATCTCTCTTCTTACCAGTTACAAAACCCAAACTGATAACTAAGAAAAGATTAACCATCAAAGTTGTGACTAAATATATTTACTATTCAGACTGATGCAATTAAAATTTATCTGAACCATATTTTCTAAAGCAATTAAGTGTTGGGAAAGCTTTTATACTAACATAAATTCTTGTTTAAAAAATAACCAAGGGATGTTTGTTTCACAATCTAGTAATCTACAATGCTAGCATAGTAAGTCAACAATCCCATCGAGAAATGATTTGGCTACCAACACTTGCTATAAACAATCTATCCACATATTTTTTTTATCTAAACCTCAGCATACGAGGTAATCAAGAGAGATTATAGATACAGAAGGGTTGAATAGTAATGCACTCTAGAACTATTGACAGATCTGAGATATATGCTTCTGTGAACAATAGCTGCTATGCTCATGCAGTGGTTAAAGCAGGATTACATAAGCACATTAATAGCACATTTTTAGTGGTTTGTTGCCATGTTTGGGTAAAACCTAGCCTCTAGCCTCACTCATCATGGATGCTAGTCATCATGCTGTTTGATTCGTTAGATGTCCAAAAAGAAAATCATGCTAGAATATGCACAACCGCCAATTTGAGTTATCTGTTCTTTTTTTAGCTGAGTGATCACTAGTGCTCAAGTCAGAAATAAAACTATACAGACATAATTTGAGTTATCCGTCCTACCTTCTGTTTGCTTGCAGTTTTCAGCAGTTCAGAAGAGCACCATGGGATGGGAGGTCCTTTGTTTATCTATTTCCAGCCAAAAGCAGGTGGACAGCAGCGCATCAGTAGCTTTGCTCTTATCTCAGGTAGTAGCGACTATAGCTAAGCATCAATTCACTTTTGAGTGAAATGTCTCTTCCATAATAGTGTCTGTAGCTTCTTGCTAACTAATACCTCGGAGGTCCTGTAGTTTGGATTAGCATTACAAATGTATTGGAAACTGATCACATATTATGAGAAAAAACATCTTAAATGCTGTTAGAAATGTATGGTTAAATCCATCTTAAATATTATGGCATGAAGTGATGTCTGAAACATAGCTATTATAAGAAATATATTTGTTGCAATCTGAAATGAAGTTCATTTTTGTTCTGCAAATGCAGGTATGCATGCTTGACACGCTCTGTCTTAGTTGGTAAGTCTATTCCAGGATCACCACTTTGTGTGATTATTATAGGTGCATCTATATTTTATTTTAACCTTGCTGCTCATACATGGGGTTATGACACAGACTTTATTCATTTTATTTTGTATAATGAACCATGACTGGTGGATAATTTGGTTTTGATTCTTATTATTAGGTGGCGCCACAGCCGAAGCCACCTTCAAACCCTCTAAATATACTGATGCTGATGTTTTGATTGTGAGTATCCACAACCAATAATTGTGTGTGTTATACAGTGATAGGAGGGAGGGTTTGGCTCTTGTAGCCAAGTATGATTATTCATAGTTCTGAATTTTGTTTCATTTGATAAATTTTCTTATTTAGTATCCCCTGAAAATCCAATTTCTCTGATCATTCTGCGGCAATCTAGTATGTGCAGATCAATGTATTTTTAAGATTTTATACAGACGAATGTTGTGGAAATATCAATTCGGTACTAGATTTTTACTGCATGCAAGTGTTCCTACAACTCAGTTCATGCATAAATCGCAGACAAATTTGGTCTATATAAATTACTATTATTTACAACCGCATGTCCCATATCGTCCGCTGCTGACTTCCAGCGTCGACTCTTTGTGACTCCTGCCTTCTGCTACTTCTCCCCACATGCACAGCTTGGCTGGTGCTCTTCATATGGATTATGCTCCTAAACAACAAAACTCAAAATCCATATTGCATATAGTGCTTTTTCTGGGCACACATTAGGTTTCTATGCATGGTTCCCTAATTTTCCAGTTCACACATGACAAGATTTCAATATGGGTAGTGTGCAAATAATTTAATTATTTATTGTTTGTTCCTGTTGGAGGATAAGAGGTTTTTGCATCTACATATTATCTGTGACGAGAAAACTTACTTTAACTTGCAAGATTTGCATATAATAATTGATGTTTTCCTAGTCACACATGTGTTCCCGTGCAAATAACCATTTTTTTATGGTCCACGTGCTTTTTTTGGAAGGTACGTAGGTCTTCCCATCAACATATATTTAATTATTTGTTATCAGGATACCTTGCATATAGTAAAGATTTTAGTGAAGGTTATTTTGCCATTCTGAATTTGTTTAGTTGGCTCATAAATGTTTGATTCTAACTTCTGTGCAGTGCATGTAGTTCACCATCGTCTTATCAGATTTATGATTATTCAATTAGCTAGCTAATTGTTTTGCGGATTCTACTGAATTTGTGCATTAGTATTTTAGTTTTTAGTAGAAAATTGGGAAATGATTAATGTCTCAAGTGTGATTGTGAGGTGTGACCTGCTAGCCTGCTCTTCGCTGTGTTTTTTAGCGTGCATTATCTAAGTGATCAAGACTTGGTATTATGAGCTTTTGAATTATGTAATGTCTCACGTATTATGCTTTTCTGATTGACCATACAATTTGTTTGAATTATTCACTTATTTAATTACTACTATGTTGCTGGGACATTTATATAAGCACAAGACTTGGCCGTCTGATTCATTAATAAGAACTGCAATATTCTTGTGGTTGTTTTACAACTAACAATGATTCTATTCTCGCAGAATGCATACTTCTGGATTTACATGGAAGACGTGTGCGACATTTACTGCTGCTTCATATATTAGGTGCAATGTTGAATAAATCTAGTGTAACTTTATGCATCTCATGGAGGGAATTGTTGAATTTCAGGTACCATTTGATTGTTACTAGGAGACTTGGAGAATATTGAGGCACGATGTTTTAGTTAGTTTTTTCGCAAGAGTTTTAGTTAGTTGACATACTACTTTTCTTTTGGTAATATGCATCCTGTCGAGTTAAGGGTTGTCTGAATAAACTAAAATTATATTACTCAAAGCTTTTGATGTGCTACATCAATTTTAATATTAATCTATATTTTCATAAAACTAATGGATGGGGTGAAAATGGTAATTTTACCAAGTAGCAACCATGGCATAACAACTCTGTCTTACAATTTGTGCAATTGTCCTTTCAAATTGTATTTGATAGACTGATAATTCTAGCTCTGATTTCCAACATGCTCTCACTCAGCTACACGC